AGGGACAGAGCAGTCTCCAGCAACTGTCCATCTACTATCTTAGAGAAGGGAGGAGTAGGGAGCAGGGTAGTGGCTTGCTTTGCAGTGCCTTTGTGTTTGTGGGGACACACACAGCTTACTAGTAGATATGTTGTCCTTATTCTTTGCCGCCATCCACTAGTTGTTCCGCCACCCAACTAAAAGGGGTATATCGGTATGGTGTGCAAAGGAGTTCTGTACTGGCTGTAAAGAATATTATACTTTTTACGCAAAGGTTAGCTACAGATGCAGTCAGTTCTAGTTGCTTTAATTAATCTGTAGATAATATTAAAAAAGAATTATGGGGAGAGTAAAATACACATCACAGCTTCAGTGACCACTGAAGCTGTGACATGTCGGCTCTATAAATTGGGAAATGAGCAATCACATACTGCTGATCGCTCAGTTCCTAATCTTCTCCCTGCAAAGAGCGGTGACTCAGTCATCACTCACCACAGGGATTCCCCCTCCCCTCTCTGATCCTCCGGCACTGACTAGATGGACGGACAGGGGGTGGGCACTAGAGAGGCAGAGCCAACTGTCAATCAGGTGGCGGGGTGGGTATTGTTAGGATCTTTTTCTGGCCGCAGTGCGGCTCTGCGCTGTCAGCATATAGCGAGCAATAGCCCGCTATATGCTGAGTTTTGGGTCACAGGAGGACATAGTAAATGTTCTCCTGTGACCCTAAATAGAACTATGGCCAAAAAAAGATGATCCATAGTTCTCTTTTGATTCTAGAATTGGCCGCATTTAATCACAAAGTCTTAATCTTAGCATAAGGTGGCCATAGACTTTAGAGGATGGTTGGACATGAAGGCATCGTTCAGCTGTCCTTGGATCTTTTTTGATGACACTCAAGTTTCCATGTAAGTGGAGTAGGAAGAGGGAGATCTCCAGATCGAACCCATTGCTTGGACGAAGTCTTCAAACATGCTTAAATGCTTTTTTTTTTTTCTACTTCCCCCTATTATTTTTCCCCAAACATTAGTTATATTGGGCTGGGATGACCCATAGACATAAAATTAGCCACCAGCTATGTCATGGCTGTTGCCGTTTCAAAGACCATTGAAGTCTGTTTATCACTGCAGTGAAATTAAAGGAGAACTATGAGATGAGTGATTTCCACTCACCTCATAGTTCTAGCCGACCTGTGACAATGAGACTGTCACAGGTCGGCTCAGTAGATCGTGAGGTGAGCGAACACATACCAGGTTCGCTGACCTCTCGATCCTGTCACGGCTCTCTGCCGTGACAGGGGAGGGGCTGGATTCCCCTCTCCCCGCTCCGATCTGCCAGCGCTGACTGGAAGAACGGACGGGGAGTGGGCAGGTACAGCTGGCTGCGCCTCTAGATAGGCAGAGCCAGCTGTCACTCACGCAGCTGGTTGGATCCCGACGTCCAGGTCGGGATCCGCTCCGGCTGCGGCGTCTCAGTATACCGCGAACTGTAGCTCGCGGTATACTGAGCTTAGGGTAACGGGAGGACGCTAGTTTGTGTCCTCCCGTTACCCTAAGGAGAACTATGGGGAAAACACTGACCCCATAGTTCTCTTTTAAAGCAATTAGTGACCCTTTAATTAGGGCATTTTTTAAAATTAAGATGCAAAATACTTGATCATTTTTTGAGATGTTGTTTCTCACTGATTAGACCTACTGTATGCAGCTGTGGCTGTATGTAGCTGTGTATGTAGCTTCCCTCCATGCTTGCTCATACATGGATTGCTTATGTATTTCAATTTAATCAGATTGAATGCAGCCCATATACTGTATATCAGGGATTTCAGTGTTGATATCTCTCTATACCTATGGCCAGCTCTGCTTCTCCGCTATCCGCTCTGTGGCATTGTCTGTTATGTAGACTAAATAAATAATATAGCTTCCTGCCAATCATCCCTGGTAACCCATTGCACAACAAACGCTTCCCAAGATAAACCATGCAGCGTGCAAAGATAGCCGACACGTATCTCAGAATAGGCGATAACTGTTTTGATGTGATGACCGCCTCCTAGTGTGACAATTATTGTAGATATTTGTTTTTTTGACAACAGTACAAATTCTACGTAAATGAAAAAAAACCTACCAACAAAACGTCGTTTCTAAAACTGTTTAGCGATTTATTTTTGTATTTTCTTAATTTTCCGAATCTCTGAAATTAGAAAAACAATTATTTTTTGCATTTACTTTCTCTTATCTAAATGGTAACCGAATGTTTAGAACATACTTATTCTGTTCATGCCATGAAATCCAAAGATGCCAAGCAAAAAATACAAATATGAACTTCAATTCAAATCAAACAAATATACATTGCCCAGCAAAGTATTTCTTACAATTTTTTGCCCAAACACTTACAGTCCTCATGTTTCTGAACCGGTCCAACTATCTCTGCTAATTTTCCCTGAACTTCCTGTCCAGTACAAGATCACAAGGGACAGAGCAGTCTCCAGCAACTGTCCATCTACTATCTTAGAGAAGGGAGGAGTAGGGAGCAGGGTAGTGGCTTGCTTTGCAGTGCCTTTGTGTTTGTGGGGACACACACAGCTTACTAGTAGATATGTTGTCCTTATTCTTTGCCGCCATCCACTAGTTGTTCCGCCACCCAACTAAAAGGGGTATATCGGTATGGTGTGCAAAGGAGACATACAGCTTACTGATGTGTCCCTTAAGGTGGGTGCTGTAGTGACTATGGATGGCGCCCCTTCAGATCCAAGTAGTAAAAATGTGTCGCCGGCACACTCAGTCATGACTGATGAAGGGACCTGATGAAGGGGCCTGAGTGGCCTTAAAACGTTGCAATGTGACATGTGTCTACATCAATAAAAGGATCACCTTTTGGGAAGAGGTGACCATGATGTGCTGGTGATGCAGATTATTACTACACAGCTTACTAACGCACACAAGAGTGGCTCCATAGAAGCCTGCAAGGAAAAGGAGCCACCCTAAAACAGCATTTTGGGGCAGTGCTCAGGGGACCAGCTGATTCTTCAGGAGACTAAAACTTAAAAGAAAAAAAGGCAGCATCTATTGTAAGTCATTTAATCAGCATTTAAAGTAGCTTAAAAACCCTTTGAATGTATTATCACTTTAAGAGCTGTCATCACTGGCCTAGGCAAGTATAAACATTGTTTTGTTTACATGAAGTCTGTCTGCATTTCTGCTGTTATTTAGGCAAGGGAGGTATGCAGTGCACGTACCTATTTGATTCAATATCTTTACTGCCAGGAGCCATAAATGGTGTTTTATGTGCTTACTGCACTCATGTGATCCCTGGATATCACTGTTAGAATCAAACAGTCCCCTCATGGGTTTAGCTAAGATGTGCTCATCTACCCATCCCTTGTGCTTCCAGACAGATAACTGTGGAATGCTAATCTAGAGAGGTGCTTGATGGTGCTTGCTTCTAGCAATTTGTGATCTCCAGTGATTGCATGTGTGCATTGCAGCATAGAAATGACTCCAGGCAGTAAAGACATTGAATCTGATGTTTAGCATATACAATACCTTTTGTTGTTCTCACATTTTGTCTTGCGTTAGTTTGGGCTCATACATATACGGTCGCCATATTTCAGCAGTTTTAGAGCTTTGGCAAACCTTATGTAGATATTTAAACGTCCGCTGCAACTTTTTTGGGGGCTTCTGATTGTGCTGATAATGCAAGTCAATAAGAACGTTGAATGACTGTCCAGAAAACACCTATAAGGTGATTCTGTAGAGTTCTCTGTAATGTTCCCAGCCCCCCGCTTTGGCTGGCCCATGCTTTTCTCAGAAAGGTTAAAATTACGCTTGTTAGAGGAAGGCCCCGTTCACACTTTGTGTAGCGTGAAGCATTGATTTCAGCACGTTCATGCGCATCTTTGCTACGTTTGATGCCAATCTCCAATTGATTGCAATGTGTGCCGCACGCACGGCAAAGTGGCTCATGCAGCATTTTCAGTTACGAGCTGCTGAATTTGTTCACTGACACGCCCAAGCGTGGGGAAAATTTGCGTTTTAGTGCTTGCGTTTTGTGGTGTCATTAACGAGTAAGGGCACAGCAAGCATGTTGCATGTTTTTGACACTTTGCAAAACGTGCAGTGTGAATGGGGCATTAACTAGCCTTTTTTTTAATGCCCCCCAGTATGAGCCCTTAGACAAGGTAAATGTAAAAATCCAGTTATAACAAGTTCTATAAAGTTATATTTGGGGAGGTGCACGATACCCGTGATATATTGCAATGTCTAATGTGCTTTAAAAGTACTTATATTTAATATCTGGAATAACAGCCATGATTTGCAGATGAGATAGAGTAGCTTCTTCATTCTTCCAGGATCAGGTAAGTAATACAGCTCTGCTTAAGTCCCCGAGACAAAACGAGCAAGGGTACTTTTTTTTTTTGGTTGACCCCACAGCCCACCCCCCTTCTTCCACACCACCATTACCTAGCCCCTTCACCGTCCCCGTCCCCTTCCCGCCGTAGGTGCTTAAAATTATTGGGACACCCCTGAATGGATTCCAGTCTAGTATGGGTGCGGCTTTCTCTTATCCTGCTGGCCATACACATGGCAGTTGTTTTTGCATTCCAGTTTTCTAGTGTTTAAGATATTTTAATGCATTGTTGTTAGAAACCTGAAAAAATGTATAGTCGGATGTACAGTGTGATTATATCTAAAAGAACGCCCCCACCCGCAGATTCTGATTTGTTCAATCCCAAACACTGCAGTGGAGAATGTTGTATATAATTGTCCAGTCAATGCATACTTCTTACCGCTCCTATAGTAATGTATCGCACTCTATCACTGTTACATGCAACCTCATCCCGAGTTAATTTCCAATGTTTATGATGTGACCACATTCATGTTAATATTTCTTTACAGTTCAGCATCAAATAACGTGATTGCACCATTTGATTGTAGTGTGTGCAGTCGCTGTACATATCGGGCTTTCTTAGCCTATTTGAAGACCAGAGAAGTAAACTTGGGACCTTTTTAATATTTCATATTCCATAGGATTCCCAGATCCGCCAGAGTGCTGCATACAGCCTGCACCAGCCACAGGGGAACAAGGAACATGGCACCGAGAGGATTGGCTTCCTTTACAAGAAAAGTGATGGGTAAGCCTTGGCTTCTTTTACGTAGGAGGTTTAGCTTCAGCTTAGTTTCACCTTTTAAGTTGTATTAGTGAAATAAATGAACTTTGCACGATATTCTAATTATTCGAGTTTCACCTTTATGTGAATGTGATCAGTTTAGTGTAATTAATCTTAACAATCCTTTTTCTTTTCTCCTTTTCTCCTTTTCTTTTCTCTTCTCTTTTCTCTCCTCCCTTTTCATTTCTCTTTTTCTTTTATCCTCTCTTTTTTCTTTTCTTCTTCTTTTTTCTCTTTTTTCTCCTTTTCTCTTTACTTTTCTTCTTATCTTTTTTTCTTTTCTCCTTTTCTTCTTTTCTCCTTTTCTTCTTTTCTCCTTTTTTTCTTTTCTTTTCTCTTCTTTGTTTCCTTCATTTTCTTTCTTTCTCTGGCTTTTAAATCTTAATGTTTCATAAAACATTGTTATTTTATGTAGATTGAAATTATATATTTGTGGACAGTAATGTGATTTGGTCTTTTTAACATGTCTCCTTATTCGTGTACAGTGTGAACTTTAATACTTCATAAGACCATACTTTTAAGACCAATTTTATTTCTACTTTTAGGATTAGGAAAGTTTGGCAGAAGAGGAAGTGCTCTGTTAAGAATGGTTTTCTCACAATAGCTCATGGCACAGTAAGTGGATATCTTCTAATTCACTAAAACGTTTGGTGAAGATTGGTTGCATTTGTTTTTTTTTTAAATGCTTGTTGTTGTAATACTATTTTTTAATGTATTTTTTAACATATTGTCCCATTCCCACAAAACCTATTTTTGCTATTTTTTATTTTGACTGTTTTTTACTGATTGTTGGTGGCAGTTGCCCACCCCTTTTATTTCTTGAAACATAGACTAAAACAGATTAAACCTTCATGGGACCACTAGTCAGACCCTAGCTCACTTTGTTTTGCAGCTGTCTGACTAGCGAAATGTTTTGGCTGCCGAAATTTTGGTGCATCCCTAATTTCATATGTAGTAAAAACATAAAAAACATTAAAAAATAACTAAATAGGAACAAGATATTATTGACCTAAAATCATTATAGATTGCCTCTGAAAACCCACCCACTAATAATAAACGTTGTCTCCATTACCGCTATCACTTAAATACAATGTTTGCTTTTGTCAGGCCAACATACCTCCTGCAAAGCTGAACCTGCTGACCTGCCAAGTGAAGACAAACCCAGAGGAAAAGAAGAGCTTTGACCTCATCTCTCGTAGGTTCCATTCATTATCCCTCTTGTGTGAATGTGAAAGTGAATATAAACTATTTTAATGGAGAAGAAGCCAGATCTATTTATTTATTGGTAGTTTTTGTTTTGTGTACATAATCTTTACGTCTTTTTAAGTAGGAGAGATATGGTTGTGGAACTGTATAATACACAAAAGTGTCGAGAGATTTCAAGCAATAAAACAGTAGAAAGGTATAGTTTAGAGTTAGGACCGCACTATAAGAGGTGCCTTGGCGCGGCTGTGCAGCTTTCACATTTTCTGCAGAAGACGTGTATCCAAACCTCTGTTATTAACCTTAGTGGTGAGACAAGTTGTTTTACATGCTGGTTTGTGAGTGTGCCATGATACCTTTCTACTGTTTTACTGTTCAAAGCCCATTTCATGTGCACCTTACTGTATAGCTGGTGACAAATTGTTGAGTGCGTTTGTCATTTGTTTTGCTTGACAGATTTCAAGCAATGCCCCCTGGGAAATATCTGCCAGTAACACTCTCAGAAAGGAACATTCTGAGTGAATACAATTTTGACATGGCAGTTATGTCACCCGATCAACTACTGAACGAAGAACAAAGGCTGAGAACATGGTCTTTGCTAATCACAAGCCATATCCATTTTATGTGTATTTCCCAGTGCGCAGTTTCTAGGTTTCCCTTCATCTAATTAATACTTCAGTGATGTCATTTCTATGGCACATTGCGAACTAGAGCCGCACAGATGATCCAATTAGATCTACCTGTTCAGATGGACCTGATCGGAAACTCAATGTCAGTCTCAGACAAGTGTCCATTTACATGCAATTAACTCTGAGTCCGTCTGGCTCCCAAACAAAACAAATGGAAAAGGGTTCGGACCGAAACGGGATGGATCAGAGATAAAAAGACGTCCTTTTACGCCCACCTTCCCAGAAACCTAACATGGGTCTGAGCTCCATTTTCCCTCCATCACATGATGGAGGACAAAATTTAATGGACACAAATGTCCCAAAAGTGACATCCGCCCTGTTCTGCTCTGATTCAACATGGAATCTGTTCACGGATCCCCTGCTGATTGGAACGGACGCCAACTTTGTGAATGGGATCTACGTTCCATGGACAAGCTGTGGCAGACAGCTTCTTTAGTTCAGTAAGCGGGTTGACTTCCTTATATGGAAACAAGATGGCTGCTCCTTTCACACTGCCCCACATATTCCATTATAGGGAGCCTATGGGGATGAAAGGGCATAGCTTTGCCTCCTAGGACAGAAACATTATCTTTATTTAAGGGGGTTCCAGCAAGTGAATACAAGTGTCTGTAGTTTTTAAGGGCTGTGCAATGGGACAATGAAAACTGATGCAAAGGCTGACTTTTCTGGGTTATTCAGCAGGAATGTGCATGCTTGTAACTGATATTTTCCCTATTCATAACAGATGATCGGACTTATCATTTCCAAACTGAAGATGAACAAGAGTGCCAAGTGTAAGTGTGTTATGTATGTGAACTGTGTATTCCATGTCTTGTTTACTTCTATAATGGTCAGAACAGAGTTTTTAAAGTTAGACCTGAGGTCTTGCGGCTTGCAGGGTCCTTGGTTTAATTGCAACTGGGGCACTCTCTATCCCTATGTTTTTTTTTATTTTGACCTTACTAAATATAGGAGGGAGGGTGCACACAAAGTAAGCCATTATGTCATGTTCAAAATAAACTATGTAGTAATGTTTTTGCAGAGTTTAGCCGTCAGGTGCACCTGTATTGTTATATCTGTGTGTATATATA